CCTGGAACTATGCTGGGCCATTGGTCCAGTTTTGGCAAGAGGCGGCGGTGCGGGGTTGGGGCATGGCTGAGGGGTCTCAGGATGTTATTAGGAGATGAGGAGGCCTGTAGTGGCAGATGTTGTAGCGGGAAGGTCAAATGTGGGGGCATTCGTCCCCTGGAAGTCTGTGGGCTGGGTCAGAGGAATACCAAGGAGCAGGTGGGTCTCTGAGGGTGTGGTTCTGTGGGATGGCCTGGGTTCTTGAAATCAGGAGACTGAGGGGGGAGGGCAGCAGGTGTTTGAGATACCAGGGACATTTCCTGGCAGGTCTCCCAACCCCCAGGGTCCCTTCTAGTCCACCCTCCTTCATGGCATTAGATGGATGTCCGAGTGTGCCTCTTGGGTCACATTGCTTCTGCTGAATGAGGACCCCGGGGTTCCCTGTTATCTCCCGACTCTGGCCAGCCCGCCATTGGGAACTCTCAGCAGGCCCAGCCTGAATCCTGCCTTCCCCAAGAGCCACCTAGTGAACATTGGTTGCATGAATGCGTGAACATAAACAGAAAACTCTTTGGCCCATGCTGGTCTCTGTTCTCAGAGCCTGTGTTGTACTGGTCCTCTCGGAGCCCCCCGGGAGAGTGTCTTTGGTAGGCAGGCTGGTATTCTTGGTCTCTTCTGCAACAACCTTCATTTCTCCAAAAACTGGAATCCCCACCCATCTGGGCTCCTCCTTGTCCTCATGCTCTCCAGCGTGGGGCTGGTCTGCAGCCACCCTTAGCACTTAGGCGTTGGTTCCTCACTTCCTGGGCCTCATGTCCCCGACGTTTCTCCTTGAGCAGAAAAGGACTGGACAGAGGAGGACCGGGGCCGAGAGAAGGTGCTGATGCAAGAGCTCGTGACCCTCATCGAGCAGCGCAACGCCATCATCAACTGCCTGGACGAGGACCGGCAGAGGTGACGTGGCTGGGGGCAGGGTTCCCGGGGCTTTCTTGGGAATGAGACCTTCACTGCCAACCATCCCAGCTCCCCGTGCTCAGCCTGTGTGGACTCAGAGTCTGGAGGGGCCTGAGAGATTATCTGGCCCTTCCTCCTGTGGGACACTCAGCTTCCCTGTCTCATTTCAGGGAGGAAGAGGAAGATAAGATGTTGGAGGCCATGATCAAGAAGAAAGGTGAGGTCCTTCCTGGGGCTCTGACCCGTTTGAACTCCTGCAGGGTGGGAGGGCCGGTTGAATACAGAGTTGGAAGGGGCACCCACAGGGACAGTGTGTACAAGCCTTTCTTTTGCCAAGAAGGCCATGTGTAGCAAGGCAGGCCAACCTATGGCCAGGAAGATGGGTGTGGGATGCCGTGGTACCAACAGGGAGGTTGGTGACACATGGGGCCATTTCCCAGGGCATGTCTGCCTTGAGTTGTGCGTTCCTCCTTGAGATCCACAGTTGGTTCAGGAGGGGTCTTGTGGGCTCAAAGAGCAGTCCCCCTCACCCTTGGAGAAGATAGTGCCCAGAATCGTTGAGAGAGCACTGGACTGGGAGTCAGGAGGCCTGGGCCTAATCTTGGTTCCCCCAGTGACTCATTTTGTGGCCTTGCGGTTCCGTCTGGGCTCCAGTTAGACTGGATTCTGGTCCCAGCTCTGACGCGTCCCAGCTGGGTGGCTTTGCGCCAGCGCCTCTCACCCCTCCAGGCCTGACTCTCCTTGTCTGCAGGATGGGGGTGACAGAGGCACCCACCTCCTGGGTAGGTGCTGAGGATGACTGAGATAACGTGTATAAAGCACTTAGCCAGGCCCTGGCACCCACAAAGAGCTCGGTTGGTGGTAATCTGTTTCAAACTCACATTTTCCTTGTCCATAATAAGTGAGGGACTGGGCCAGATGATTTCTGCGGTTTCTTCTAGCTCTGACAGTCAGTGTTTGTGTTGTAAGCCACAGAGCTGCAGGGGAATCGAAGGTTTTAGAGATAAAATGTCAGCCGTGCTCTAGGGCTCCCCCACTGCCTTCATGAGTGCTCATCTCCCGATCCCTGCCGAAATGCTGGGAAGGGGTGGGGTCCTTTCCTGGAGGTGAAGAACTGGAGATGCAAAAGGATGAAGGGACATGTCCACGGTTCCAGGCGACATGGTGGTGGTGGTGGTGGTGGTGGTGGGCCGAGACTGTTGGCTGCCACTCCCCGCCGACATTGCCGCCCTCCCCCACCCCCCGCTGTCACTGCAGCCCCCCGGCCGTCACTGCTGCTCCCTGCTGTCACTGCCGCCCCCCGGCTGTCACTGCTGCCCCCCCCAGCCATCACTGCCGCCCCCCGGCTGTCACTGCCATCCCCTGGCCTGCCCCAATCGACCATCCTTTCCCTTCTGCAGAGTTCCAGAAGGAGGCTGAGCCCGAGGGCAAGAAGAAGGGCAAGTTTAAGACCATGAAGGTGCTGAAGCTGCTAGGAAACAAGCGTGATACCAAGAGCAAGTGCCCCGGAGACAGGAGCTAACGGCGCGGACTGCCAGCCAGGACACCACCCCCCACTGGCTGCGCTCTGCGGGGCGGGAGGGGGGCTTCTGTGTCCCTTCAGGATCAGTTGAGAGGAAAGATGACTTAGGGGAGGGAGCCTCTGGATGATGGCCTCTCCCTCCTCAGGGTCCTCTGGCTGGTCTGGGCCAAACAGTTTTTCTCTCTCCTCTGAGCCCCCAGCCTGGCTCTCCTGACTCCAGATGCTGTGACTGACCCCAGGAGCGAGCAGGGTTTCCCTGCCCTTGGTCCCGCTTCGCGCCTATACCATGTGCAGAGGGGAGTGGAAGGTCTGTCCACCCACTGAGGTCTGGGCCCTCTGGCCTGGGGCTCCTGCCCTCTGGGCAGCCTGGCAAGCCAGGCTCGGCCGCACTGGGCCCTTCCTGCCCCCACCCCATCCTGGGTCTGAGTCCCTGTCTTCTTGTCGGGGCAGGTGGCCCTGCCTCTCTTTCTCCGCACTCAGGAGCTCTATTTATGAAGTCTCTTAATTAAAGTTGGAGGTAGTTACTATGTCCTCAAGACCCGAAGGGGCCTGATGGACAGACCCCTCCCTTTGTTCCTCGAAGTCCTAGGAGGTGCTTCCCTCACCTCCGCTCATTCCGCAGGAAGTCTCCCTGCCCGGGACAGGGTGCTGGGGCGGGTGGGGTGCCCGAGAGCTGAACCCCCGAGGGAGGGCCGCGGGGGAGGCGGGCGTGCTGCCCGTAGGTGCTAACCCTGGCCCTTCCCCACACACCGTGGCCCCGGTCCCTCCTGTAGACTCTCCCCGCCACCCCAGGGCTGGGGTGCGGCGGATCCACTCCCGGGGGGTCAGCGCCAGCCTGTCTCCTCACACGCGCCTGTTGTCTGTTCCCTCCCGACTTCGTCGCCTCCGAAGGACTGATGGCCGCTCACGTCCCGGGACGGCTGTGGGAGGGGAGGAGCCGATGGGGACCAGCACCTTCGCCCCAGGGGACGAGCCCAGCAGCTCTTGGGGCAAAGCACCGTTGCTATAAGCTATTTGCAGGGTGCCTCTAGGGCCCTTCCCTCAGCACGCCTCTGGGGAAAGATCACACTGTATTAACTTGAGAGGGTTTTCCTCACCGACAATAAACAGAGACCACCTCGCTGCCAGTGCCTTGCAGCCCTGGGCCTCCCTCCCCTTGCCAGGCCTACCTTCTTCCCTGCCTCCGCCGTGCCTCTTGGCCGGCATCTCCGCTGGCCCAGGAAGGCGTGGAGGGGCTGTCCACCGCCGGGGGCCCCTGGCCCTCTCTCCCTGCCCCTGGGCAGGATGCCTTCCTCTGTAGAGACCAGTGCCGCCTCCGAGCGTCTCCTTCCTGATGGGCCTGTTGACCTGCAGCTGGGCTCACCAGCTCCAGCGCTTTTCAGGGGCCAGGCAGGTGACACGCGTGAACCCAGGCTGGGCGCGTCCTGCGGGGCGGCCCCGGCAGGCTGTCTTGGTGTCAGGACACCTGGGTGGTGGGGACTGGGGTAAACTGGGGTGGATACACCGCAACTAGGGGGAGGCTGTCCCTCACCCAAGTCAACTGTAGCCTGTGGGATGTGGGCCCAGTGGGGCCAGATCTTTGCATTTTTCAAAAGAAACTGGAAATCCAGTGGAGCGTGTGTGTACTTTGTAAAACTGAGTTGAATTGAAATCAAGGGTACGTGCTACCGTGTCAGAGTGGGCTGACTCGGTCCTGGGTTCTCTGGTTTGCTGCCTCTGGGCCACATGCTGCGGCCTTTGAGGTAGAGGATGACTGTCCTCCTCAGGTTGCGCCCTGAGCCCTGGGGTTCTTGAGGGAGTGTGGACGCAGGCTTCCCATGGAATGTTCCAGAGCCCCAGCCCTTGAGCTGGTCCTCTCTATTTGTTTGCGGCTGCAGGACTATATTTATTCTGCAAACCCCAACTGGGGTCATGTGGCCTGAGAGGATTATATGAATCCCTCCAAGTGGGAGGCTTGGTTGAAATTTCTGAAATACTTTGATTTATGGGGATGGGAAAATGACAGGATACTGGAGAGCGTAAGGCCTGTGGTTGTCAGAGTTGTGGGGACTGCTGCATGCTGTGTGCCAGGCCTGGGACGCAGCTCCTGTGGCTGTACATCTCAGCACCCAGGCCTCACAGGCGAGCTGCTGGAGATATGGCGGGCGGGCTCAGACACACGGGCTGGGGGTGGATCTCTGGAGCAGGGCTCCTTCAGTCTGGATGCATCCATCCCTTTGGGTTTCTTTCTATGGGTTGTGGGTTTGGTGGTGGAAAGACCGAAAGCTAACTTTGAATCCCCAGGAGGCCACTTGTTGGTTAAATGCCTCTGTTTGGAGTCTCTGGGTGAGACCTGGTTTTCACCAGGGATGATGAACCATCGCCGGTGTTTACTGAGGGAATCAGCCAGGAGCGACATCGTCGCCTGGCATAGCACCTGCCCATGGGCTGCTCCCGGAGCCTTGGTTCCATTTTTACTGGAAAAAAACAGCTAGAAACCAACTGGGCTTGAAAAATGCTAACTCCTTGAACAAATAAGCCTTATCCCTCTGAAAACAAAATGGTGTGTGTAATGACCTACAGTAAATGTGTTTTATTAGCCAGTTAATCATAGTGGTTAAATATTTGTCCAAGGCTGTAAGAAGTCAAACAAGTAGGTCCTAAGACGGGTAGGAAGAAAGGAATCATATTCATTACTAAGTTCAGAAAACCTAATGTGTGGGACACAGGGACACACAGTGGGCGAAGCGTTGGGAAGAGGCCCTAGTGGACACCCTTAGACACATACCCAAGGTGGTTAAGACCTGGACTTGCTTTCACTGTGTGTGTGCACATGCGTGCGTGTGTGTGTGTGTGGGTGTCTGGATCTGTGACTGGTCTCAGAGGCTCAGCTGACCCTGGGCAGAGTCTGGAGGAGAATCAGCTCATTTTCTGAGATGTGGTCCATTTTCTAGGGTGCTGTGTCCAGGGTACCGTAGGTGGGGGCAGTGCTATACAACCATTTCCATGGCTGAAGGGCAGAGTGGGTGGACTGACCTGGGGGTGACCCGGCTTGGCAAGGGGGTGGGCTCCCCTGCCCTCCTTGGGGTGGGGAGCAGGGGCGAGTGGAAGGTTAAGTGGTGGCAAGAGCTTTCCTAAGTTCCTCACTCCTCTTGTGGTCAATGTCTTCCATTTCCTGTAGTTTCTGCAAAGGGCATTGGGGAAAGCTGGGTGTCAGGGCGGATGTGAGGCTAGAGCGGGACCCCCGAAACAGCCCGAGTGGAGCCTCACTTCGGCTCACGTCTCGTCCCCCGCACCCACGTCCTGTCCACCTTCCCTGGTGCTTTTCCTACCTGGGAGATTTCAGTAAGGATGATCCCGCGATACTGTCTGCCCTGCCCCAGGGCCTCCATGTCAGCCAGGAATTCTTTCCTCTCCTGAACTTCCTTCACCACTGGACAGGGAGAGGGCCGTCCGTGCACAGGACAACAGGGGCCCCCGTGCTCCTGGGAGGGATGGTGGGGCGGCAGGTAGCCTCTCTTGGGAACGGGGAGCAGTCCTGTGGTCCGTTTCTCACTCGATGGCCCTCAGGGATCCCCCTTCCCCTGCTCCCGGGGCTCTTCCACAGACACTCCCCCTTCCCCTCCCCAGCGTAGCTGGCCCCACAAGGACTCACGTTCTTCAAAGCGGTCCAGCTCGGGGGCTGGGTCCTCCTGTCGCACGGGAGGGGGCTTTCTTTTCCGTTCCTCTGGCTTCTTCCCGGTGGCAAAGATATTCTGGAGTCTTCGCTTCTCCTTCTCCAGATCCCCTGTCGGGCCCAGAAGTGGCCTAGGTAAGGTGGGCAGGGCACCCCCAATTCCTGGAGCATGCTCACTCCAGGGTGCCTGGGAACATGGTAGGGCTTCTGCAAACCCAGCACCTCCTACCCTGGGCCGCCTCTGCACTGGTCAAGTCACAGTAGGCCGGAAGGTGTTGGAAGGACCCAGAAGAGAGCTTCATCGGAACCCACACACGGGGCTTCCCTGGTGGCTCAGCGGTAAATGTGGTGGTCTAGTCGGGAAGTCGTGTCCGACTCTTGTGACCCCATGGACTGTAGCCCGCCAGGCTCCTCTGTCCACGGGATTTTTCAGGCAAGAACACTGGAGTGGATTGCCATTTCCTTCTCCAGGGGATCTTCCCGACCCAGGAGTCAAACCCAGCTTTCCTGCATTGCAGGCAGATTCTTAAATGCAGGAGCCATGGGGTTCGATCCCTGATCTGGGAAGCTCCCACATGGCACGGAGCAACTAAGCCCGTGCATCACAGCTACTGAACCTGTGCTTCAGAGCCTGGGAGCCGCACCTCCTGAAGCCCAGGTGCTCCTCAGGAGAAGCCACCACAACGAGAAGCCTGCCCGCTGCTGCTAGAGACTAGCCGCTGCTTGCCTGCACTAGAGAAAAGCCAGCACGAAGACCCAGCACAGCCAAAAATAAATAAATAAAATTATTTTTAAAAAAACAAACCCCACAGACTGCCTGGGTGCAGAGCAAGGCTAAGGAAACTCAATGACTGTGCAGTATAGCCCGGATGGGGAGGCCGTGTGGAGGGGCCAAGAGTCACATCAGGTGCCAAGTGGAAAGCGGGGGATGTAATCGCTCTCTGAAACAGGCTAGGGCACAGAGGAACCCGGGGTTCCAGGCCCCATGTGAGCTTGAGAGAGCAACAGCTGTGACACCTGACCTCCAAAGATTCATCAGAGGTGGGGGGAAACCAGTTAACTGTTAAAGAGAATTCTGGGAAAATGTATACAAAGTAACCAGCTAACTGGTTTCCCACACACCCTGAATGCCTCCAAGCTAACAGGTGCGGAGGTTGGAGAGCACTGGTGTAAACAGCCTGAGAATTTGATTAGCCGCCTGCGCAGCACCCTGTGGGCTGTTCGTCTCCCTGCCCCCCTCAACCCCCCTCGGAGGGTAGAAGAGGGGCTGTGGTCGAGGCCCCTTACTCACGGGTGGCCTGAGGCTTGAACTGCTCCCGGCTGTAGGCCCCGTTGGCTTGGCACCTCCTGGCAGGCCGGAGGTGGGACCGGGCAGCCAGGATGGGAGGCAGGTAGATGGCTGAGCTTGGCTGCTTGGAAGGCAAGACCCTCTGGCTGGAAGTTGGGCTGCACTGCAGGGGGAGAGTGTCTCCTCCTGGGGAGGGAAGGGTCAGGGTCAGGGGGCCCATCTAAGTGGTCCCTACCTGTTAAAATAAGTCAAACGGTATGGAAGAGTCTTCCCATCTCCCCTCCATACCCTCCCCTCTACAACGAGTGGTGGTAACAATTTGGTGGTCTCAGCCCATTCTTTTTGATACTTACATAATCATGTTCAAAGATATATGGGCATGTATACGATTCATTTTTCAAAGATTGGATCACACTGCATTCTATTCAGTAATAGACTAACAATCTTCCATGGGGTCGCAAGGAGTCTGACACAACTGAGCAACTGAACTGAATTAACAATCTACCATGAACATCTTTCCAAATCATTCCCATTTATCTAAAACGTCTTTATTCTTTTGGCCGTGCCCACGCAGATCTTAGCTCCCTGACCAGGGACTGAAACTGCGCCCTCGGCAGTGAAAGCTCAGTGTCCTAACAGCCGCCTAACCAGCAGTCCAGATCCCCGGGCTGCCAGGGAACGCCCTCCAACCTGTTTTGACTTGGATCCTGTCTACCTCACGTCCCTTTCCAGCCGTCTCTGTCATCACCCAGCAGGGAGTATCGAGCATGCACTCTGAGCCAGGCCCGGACACGGGGTAGAGAGGTCAGACGAAGCCCTGCCCTCACAGTGCTCCCATCTGGGTTTAGACGGTGGTAACAGCGGCGATGCTGACAGTATGGCTATGGTTGCAGTGCAGGGATGGGCCACAGGGTGTATCAGAGCAGGGTTCACGGTTATAAATAGGGCAGCCGGGGAAGGCCTCACCGACACAGTGACATTTGAGAAAAGACCCATGAGTGGTAAGAGGCCAGCCAAGGTGATATTTTAGGGAAGAGCATTCTAGGCAGGATGGGTCAAGTCCTGAGGTGGGAATGTTCCCAGAGCATCTGAGAACAGACAGGAGGCTGGGGTGCCAGGAATGGACTGAGCCAGGGGTGGGGTGGCGTGGGAGTAGAGGTGAGAGGTCAGGGAGGGCACGAGACGGGCGGGGCCTCATAGGCCTCTGGAAAGACTGGCTTTTATTGTGTGTGAGGTGGGAAGCCATTGAGGGTTCTGAGCAGAGGAGTCACCCCTTTAGCTGCCATTGAAAATACAGCATTGGGAATTTCCTGGTGGTCCCTGCTTCCACTGCAGGACCACAGGTTTGATCCCTGGTCTGGGAACTAAGATCCCTCAAGATGCACAAGCAAAAAAAAAAAAACAAGATAAAAAAAGAAAATACAGAGTTGGGGGTCAAGGGCTTCCCAGGTGGTGCTAGTGGTAAAGAACCTGCCTGCCAATGCAGGAGACATAAATGACACGGGTTTGATCCTTGGGTCTGGAAGATACCCTGGAGGAGAGTATGGCTACCCACTCCAGTGTTCTTGCCTGGAGAATCCCATGGACAGAGGAGCCTGGCAGGCTACAGTCCATGGTGTCACAAAAAGTCAGACAAGATTGAAGCGACTGAGCACGCACGCACGGGGATCAAGGGCAGAAATAATCACAGTCAGGATATGGTTTGAAGGTCAAGCAGACAGGACTGCTGGTGGGTTGGATGTGGGGTCTCGGAGAAAGGGAAAGAGGGGACAGGATGACTCTGATGCGTCTGCCCAGACGAACCAGAAGGATGGAGCTGCCGTTGTTTCCCGCTGCCTTTCCTTTCTCATGTCCTCTATCTAGGGCCAACCATGGTTTTTCTCTCTCTTCTCTGAAGAGATGCTGTGCTTTCCAGAATGTTCCTCATACTCTCTCTGCTATTTCTACCTGTCCAATGCTAAATGCCACCTTTTCTTTTGGCTCAGTCTCAGCAAATAATTAGAGCCAAGCAATTCTGGGAGTTCAGGTGAAGGAGAGGAATTTGTGGCTTGCAAAAGAATTTAAACTAAGCCTCAAACAAACAAGTAGGACTTGGTTAAGAAGAGAGAAGAGAGGGGAATCTAGGAGAAGAAAGTACACTCAATACCAATGCTTGGAGGCAATATTTTAAAGAGAAAATGTCTAAGGAGAAAAAAACTGCCAGGCAAACTGGTTACTTATGTTGACCTAACCACTAATACAATTAGTTTGTCAATAAATATTGAGCACCTCAGAGTCAAGGACTTCTCTGGTGGCTCAGATGGTAAGGGGTCTGCCTACAACGCAGGAGACCCGGGTTCAATCCCTGGGTCAGGATGATCTCCTGGAGAAGGAAATGGCAACCCACTCCAGTACTCTTGCCTGGAAAATCCCATGGATGGAGGAGCCTGATAGGCTACAGTCCATGGGGTTGCAAAGAGTAGGACATAACTGAGCGACTTCACTTTCACTAGGAGTCAAGGTACAGTGGTGAACAAGGCAGGCTCAATCCTTGGTCTCCAGGTATTTACTTTTAATGGAATTTCTAGCACATTCTCTTTATTGTCATGTTGTAAGGAAGGAAGGAAGGGTTAGTTGCTCAGTCATGTCTGACTCTATGGGACCCATGGACTATAGCCCACCAGGCTCCTCTGTCCATGGGATTCTCTAGGCAAGAGTACTGGAGTGGGTTGCCATTCCCTTCTCCAGGGGATCTGTAGGGGACATCAAATGATTAGTAGATGACTTGAGTGTGGAGATTGAGTTATGTGACTCAGCTGCGTTGTGGTATTAGGCTCTGGCAGCCTGAGTTGTCCTTGTCCACAAAGAGGAAGGAGATCTGACTTCTGAACTGACCTGATGGAGCCTCCCTCCCCCAGCCAGTGCTGGGCAGTCAGTCTTTGTCTCTCTGACTCTCCCATTCCAGTTTCTGTGGTTGACCAGATGCCTCCTGATAGGCACCTTCTTTCCTGAAAGGCAATAGCTATTGGTAGATTTGAGTGAAACTTGGCAGGCTTGAACCTTCTGGTATCCTCTTAAAGGTAACTTTACAGATCTCTGTTCTGATCCCCTAAAAGCTGATTCAGTTAAATCTCAGAAAGCAAGGTTGTTTTCAAGATCTTAGAAGGTACAAGCTGAGCCACCAGAGAAGCCCAAGAATGCTGGAATGGGTAGCCTATCCCTTCTCCAGGAGATCTTTCGAACCCTGGAATTGAACTGGGATCGCCTGCAATTGCAGGTAGACTCTTTACCAGCTGAGCTATCAGGGGAGCATTCTAATGTGCATAGTACTAGTCAAATATCTGACTCTATTTCTTCCACAATGAGCAGTTTCCCTAAACTGTAAGTTTTTGAGGGTAAAATAAAAAGATATATAAAACCCCATTTTGTAACAAGAGGCCAGATCAAATGATTAGAGTTAAATCATATTCAATGCTTCAGGTTAAATAATTGTACTTGCAAAAATAAAAGTAAAAATGGTTTAATAAAAGATTGCTTTGTTTGTAAAAAAAAAAAAAAAAGATCTTAGAGGGCACCTTGTTACCATGCCCATGTACATTCAGTTTTTTGTTTTCCTTAAAAATAAATAATATAGTGTGTGGTCAGAGGTGAAGTGTGGAAAGGTTTTGCATAGTTTTTCTATGTTGGAAGCCTGCCATTAATCGAGTTTCTGCTAGCTAAGCTATGAATGAATAAAACCATGCATGAGACACACACAGGACTCTCGTCTGGAGTGCTCATATGGTATGTGTGTAAGAGGGTGGGAGAGATTGCAGACTTGACAGCGTTTGGACTGTCTGACTGGGCAGGAAGTCTCAAATGGGCTGGTGCCCTATTGGGAAGGCTGGCTAGAGCCGGATTGCAGGAGTGGCTCATGGGCTGGGACCCATGTCTTGGGAAGAAGCAAAGACCAAGACCCTGCAAGGTCAATTCCCTGAGAGCAAGGGTCAGAAATACTATTCAAATTTTGTTTTGTGTGTGTGTATGTTTAAAATTAGGTTCCCTACTCCTCAACATGGAGAAAGCATTACAATGTGACCCAGAATTCCTTTCCCCCGGAAACCTCTCTGGTCAGCCTCTTACGTTTAATGGTGTCCATGATGTGGCGCTGTTGGAAGTTAGTCAGTTTGGATTCCTTCATCATCACTGCAAGACAAAGCACTTCAGTGAGGCTTCCTGGGCTGCAAGCAGATGCCTTCATCTCACCCCACTGAAATTTAATATTGTATCACCTCCTGCTCCCATTCTGGCTACCTGAGTACTTAGCTTGTGGGATTTGAGTTCCTTGAACAGGGATTGAACCTGGGTCTCCCGGCAGTGAAAATACTGAGTCCTAAACACTGGACCACGAGGGAACTCCCTTTCTTTTCTACATTTTTTTTCCCCTATACCACTCATCACCATCTAAGTTCTATATACCTTACTTATTATTTGTTACATTCCTACTAGAATATTAGCTCCAAGGGAACAAGAATTTTTCCTTATTTCTTTTCTTTATTGCTGTGTTTTCAGCACCTGGGACAATGTCTCAAGCACACAGTGGGCTTTAAAACATTTTTTGTTGAGTGAATGAATGAGTGAATGAACAAGTATTCATTAAGCATGTGCCAGGGACTGGAGCTACAAATGTGAGCCAAAACAGGCATCATGCCCTGATGGAGTTCATGAATTGAATGTTAATTCAACGTTAATTCAGTGGAACACACTAGGTATCTGATTACAGGTTGCACTAAGCCCAGTGAAGGAAAAGGTATTTGGTAGTGTGCAGACACATAACGGTTCCACTGTGGTGATGATGGGTGGGGAGGAAATAAGTCTTCCCTGGAGAAACTGAAAGTGTGATCTAAGGGGCTCATGGGAGTTAACTACTCTGAAATTCTTAGTTCTTTGACTTTGAGTCACTTCCAAGTTGTAGGACCCAGACCCCTGAACCGTTCTGAACTCCAGGCTTCTTATCTGTAAAATGAAAATACAATTACTAAGCCATAAGTAATGTAGGGGAGAACTGAGAAACAGGGTAACTGTGACAACCGCTCTTCTTGTGCCCTTTAATGCACTGACCTCTGAGCAGTTCGCAGGTCCCTGGGGTGTAAGTGGTCAGCTTGGGACAGCGCCAGAACCCTGTTCCTTTAGTCACCGTCTCCACACTCTCCTGGGAAGCCATGGGAGGGATCTGAAGAGGGAAAAACCCAACGAAACATTCCCTGTCTCCCAGATCCAATCTCTTCTCACACCCTCAACACCACCCAAAGTTTGGGAGCGGGTGTCGGGTCGCAAAAGAATCGTGATGCCGCCTGTCAACATCGCGACAGTGCCCGATCCTTCCACCTTGAAGATCCACTGGCAGATATACACACGCAAACAGAGACCTCATCCGGACCTGGCGCCTGTGGCAGGGAAGCCCCCTCGGGAGGAAAGGGGCGTGAGGGCAGCCGTGCCCGTGTGTGATACGCCCAAAGGGGAAACCTCACCCTAAAGTAAGACCCCGGCTGGGTGGCCTCTCTCCCCACAGAGAGCGGCGGCTGGGCTCCGGAGGTCGTAATCAAGGCTCTGAAGCAGCAGCCGCTCCTGGGCCCTCGCAGAAATACTTTTGAGATCTCAGCCACTAGAGCCTGCAGCTAGCGGCTCCGGCTACCATGGTAACGCAGACAAACCGCTCCGCGCATGTGCATATTTCTCGCCCCGCCTGCCTCCCGGAAGTGATTACCTCTAGGTCACGGCGCAGGCGCAGAGTACGCTTGGCAGCGCGCGAGACGGAGGTACGCAGTTCGCCGGTCTCCGCGCGGGTCTGAGTCGCGGAACTGTGGCTGCTGCGCGGGCGTCATGTCAGACAACGAGGACAAGTGAGTGAGGGAGCTAAGTGACTTTTGCGAAGACTCAGAAGGGGCGGATGAAGCGGGAGCCAGGGTCGAAGGAAGTTGAGCCAGGGGTTGAGGGGACTAGGGGTGCTGAGGGGGCCCGCAGAGCCGGAGAAGGGAAAGGCTGGGAACTGGGAGCATAGACCCGGCCAGAGGCTGGGCGCGGAAAAGGCCCCGGCTCGAGGGTCCAGAGAGGATCAGTGAAAAAAGTACCTTTCAGCAAACTTCCACTGAGTCGGGCTCTATGTCAGTACCAAATATTGAGATGTATTAGGTATAGTCTGTGCTCTTCAGCTGGGGTCTCTTTCTAGAAGAGGCCCATGGTTAAGATGAGGACGTCAGATGACTAACTTATTGGATGATTCACTGGTTAGGTGGATATTTATTGAGAGCCTCCTACGTATCACATGAGACTCAGATCTCTGCCCACTTTGATTCTAGTAAGTGATGCTCTAACTAACGGGCTTCTTACACTTGTGCAGTTTTGATGGAGACGACTTTGATGACGTGGAGGAAGATGAAGGACTCGATGACTTGGAGAATGCCGAGGAGGTCAGTACTGAGCCTTGGGCTCCCCTCTCTGCAGCCCAAGCTGCCAGATAGCCCCACCAGTGATGGCCAATCGCATGCCTCTGCCTCCGGTTTGTGGTCAGGGTGCTGCCAGTTCGAATGAGGAGAGATCTAGTCCTGGGTAGTGGAGGAGTCCTACAGGGTTGGCCCAAAGGCTTTTGTCCTCTTGGACCACAGAGCATGGCTTCTGGGGCAGTTAGTTGACTCAGAGTTGAAATAGCCCTTTCATTCATTGTGCAGACATGTGTTGAATGTTTATTATGTACCAGGAGCTCAGCAGGGTGAGGCTAAATAAAGAGCAAGGGGGAGAGTGACCTGAGATAAGGCTGGAGAGGTGAGGGCCAAGATCAGGCAAGATTTTGTAGCCTAGGGGTAGTGGGAAGCTGCTGACAAGTTTTGGGGAGCTGGGGAGTGGCATGATCCAGTGAGGAATGAGTTGGGAGGAGCAAGAGTCAAAGAAAGCCCAATTAGGGTTCAGTCCAGGTGACGTCTGTAACTTGCACTTAGGTGCTGGTAGTGTCTGTGATGAGAAAACAGATTCGAGAGATCTTGGTGGATTGGATGTGGGGCTGAGAAAGTGGGACATGACAGGAATGACTCCCGTGTTTCTGGCTTGAGCAGCTTGGTGGATGAGTTACTGGCGTCGTAGATAAAATAGGGTTTTCTGTGCTGTGTGACTGGTGGAGGAAGAAGTGCTTTGTGTCTTCTGGAGAGAGGGATCCCTTGATTGTTTTTTAGGTTGGTAAGGTGAAGGCCCTCTTTTGTTTGGGTTTTCCTGTCTGCCTGGCACTCTGAGGTTACCTGTTCACTGAGTCAGAAACTTTCTTCTCTATCCTTCTGATCCATTTCCATCTCTCTCCTGCTGACTCTGCCTCCTCCATGTAGTTCAGTCCTGTTCCCGTTTCTCTATTCCTAGTGCCTCAGCCTGGTTTAGATCCTCATTGGTTTTCACCCGCATTACTGTAGAAACTTGTTACCGGTTTTCCTGCCTTGAGTCTGCTGTTTGCTTTTCTGCTGCCAAAGTTGACTTCTCCTACCCACATGATTGGTTACTATTGGTCTTCCTCAGTGTTCTCTCTGTTTCGGCCCTTACCCTCTACAAAATATTCTCAACAGGGTATCCAGAGTGATCCTTTTAAATCTAAAGTCACTCTCTCTCTCCTCTGCTCAGAACCTGTATCTGGTTGCTTCTCATCTCATTCTGAATAAAAGCCAAAAACATGCATAACGTCCTCCATGATCCGACCACCTGCTCCCTCTGTGACCTTCTCTCTTCTCGGTGTCCCTGTCTCTGCCAGGGAAGTTCCAGCTCAGGACCTTTGACTGTGCTGTCCCCTCTTCCTTTTCCCTTAGATATGCACACAGTCTGCTCCTCAGCCTCCTTCAGGTCTGTGTTAAATATCACCTCAGTGAGGCCTTCCCTGACCATTCTATCTCAAATCACTGCATTTGTCCCTTCCTCCAACATCAACACTCAGACACTCTCTGTCTTTTCTCTCTGTTTTTATACTGCACATTTTACTACTAATTTTATTTATTGTTCATCTCACTGTATTCCTGGGTCAGGAAGATCCGCTGGAGAATGGATAGGCTACCCACTCCAGTATTCTTGGTCTTCCATGGTGGCTCAGTTGGTGAAGAATCCACCTGCAATGCAGGAGACCTGCCTGGGTTCGATCCCTGGGTTGGGAAGATCCCCTGGAGAACGAAATGGCTGCCCATTCCAGTATTCTGGCCTGGAGAATTCCACGGACTGTATAGTCCATGGGGGCTCACAAGGAGTTGGACACGATTGAGTGAATTTCACTTTCACTGTATTATATAGTAAAACTCTATGGGAGAAAGAACTTATCTGTCTCACTGCTCTGTGTCAAGCACTTAGAATGCTATCTGACATACAGTAAGCACTCAGTAAATATTTGTTGACTTAATTTTATATTATAGAATTTATTCTCCTGTCTATAACCCTGTCTGTACCTTTTGTGCTAATCATACCCCACAATTAGGCGTACAGGCTGAGTACGTTCTCTCCCTCCTGTGTCTTTGCACATATGCAATTCAGCCTGCCTGGAACGCCCTGCCTTTCCTTCCTTGTTAGCTTGGCAACTCATACTCATCCTTCTAGACTAGCCCAGGTCTCATCTCTGGACTGTATTCCTAACCCCCAGGATGAGGTAGGTGTCCCTCACTTTCTTGTGTAGTTTGTGGCACGCTGGCACACTTTCATAGCACTTGGTGTTTTGTTTACTCTTGTCTTTTTGCTGGACTGTGAAGTCTTTGAGAGCAGAAACTCTTTCCATCTCAGCACCTTTATCATGTCTGGCACATGACAGATGCCTAATAAGTGATTATTAAATATATACATATTTAAAGATGGGGTGCTTGTTCCTCTTCCTGCTTCGGGTAAGGTTGTCTATGCTCAAGGATTTCTTTGTGTGGGGCCAACTCTTCTTTCTGGATGAGGCGGCTGGCTTTGGACTCCTGATCACGATTCCTCTTTCACTAGCTCTGAGACTTTGGCCAAGTTAGCTGACTGTCCAACCCTCTAAAATGAGCATTGTAATCCCCACTTCATAAAGTTTTTGTGAGGATTGAGTGGGGTGTTAATAAGGCAGTTGCATGGTCACTGGCATGTAGCGAGCAATAGTGTGGAGGTGCTTACAATCACTGTTGTCGTCATCCTGCCCCTCACCCCCAGTAATGCATCCTGAGATTTTTCCCTCTTTTCTGCCTTGGTGTCCAGGAGGGCCAGGAGAACGTTGAGATTCTCCCTTCTGGAGAGCGACCGCAGGCCAACCAGAAACGAATCACCACACCATATATGACCAAGTATGAACGAGCCCGCGTGCTGGGCACCCGAGCCCTTCAGATTGCGTGAGTATGAGCTCCCACACCATCTTGTCCTTTGATCAGGCTACAGGGAGCCTCCAAGCTGTTGGTAATGGCCCAGCCTGACAACAGACCCTTCCCTTTCTCACAGGCTAAACAAAGGCGGTACTGCTCCTGTGTGCCAGGCACTGTGCTAGACCCCTGTCCTCAGGGAGTTTGTGGTCCATTGGGGGAACAGGACATAAGCAGTAGACGAGTAACAGTAAGAATACAGAGCGTGATGACTGCCTGTCAGGTGGGGAAGCGAAAATAAATGAAATAAGATCAGACCTAGACCCTTGTGGGCTCGTTAGTTGCGGGTGCTGCAGCAACTCTCACTGGGCTTAAGGTGGTTCTTGACTCAAGTAGACTGGGGCCAGCCCAGAGGAGTGAGAGAGCCCTCCACGTCGAGGCCGCGCTGGGAACGTGGAAGCACAGAACAATGGTTGGGCGTGTGGGGGTTTGAAATTAGCAGCCCTTCCTTTCTCTCCCAAGTTGGGAACTTGTTGAAGAACACCATGATTCAGGAGCCAGCCAGGAGACAAGTCAGGTCAGGTCAAAATGTGCAATGCCCGCATGTCTACCCGTCAGCCACAGGCATTGCAGGCGTCAGAGGCCGTGTCTGCGGGGGCGGGGGCCTTGTACAGAACAGACCCCAAAGCAGCCCCCCTGAGGGCAGGTGGCTTTGAGGAAGCAGGAGCTCTTGAAGAGGCTGGGCCACAGGTGCTGGCTTTCCCCACCAGGCTCCCCTGTCAAATGAGCTCCTCCTCTGTTCTGGCGAGAGTTAAGTTGGAGGACGCAGAGAGCAGATGTGTTCCTGTTGCTCTCGTGGCAGGTCCTCCCCAGGGAAACAGGAGGCTGAGGAAAGGAGCCCTGTCTCAGACTTCTTACCAGCTGCTGGGAGAAATGGTGGACACCTGGAGGAGGGGTGCTTCGAGAAGAGAGGAGTGGGAAACAGGCTCGAAAGAAAAGTTGGGGCCACGGAGTTGTGGGGCAATACGTATGCTAGGGGAGCGATGATGCTCAATCTGTGCACCCCCACCCCCTGCCCAAGTTTTCAAACAGCACTGGACTTTTATCTGTGGAGTGAAGGTGACCACTCAGTGGAGGGTTTTATTGGGGCAGGAAACCGTTGTTCTTCACTTGATCGGCAGTGGTAGACCTCCTGCCGGCCTGCTTGCACCCCTTGCTGGTCTGGGTGAGTTGAGAGCCGCACTCCGTATGGTGATTTCAGTTGCTGGGGTCAGGACCCTCTAGGCCTGCACCACAGGTATGGTCACTGCTGGCTACATTTGGCCATTTAAATTTAAATTAGGTAAAACTAGATAGGAGTCCAGTGTTTCTATCTCCTTAGTCACATTTTGTGTGCTCAGTAGCCCTTGTGG